TGCAAAAGTGCTCCAGACACACAAATGCTCAGGGCGAGTGCGTGGAGCTGCCTGCGTGACAGCTGTCTTATTTATAGCTCGCTTTTACCCAGAAAGTCTTACTCCGAAAGGTCACACGCTATCATCCAGACATCACAAAATAAATGAAGACAAACAAGAGGAGAAAGTGTGCTAACGTGGCATCTGGAGTACACAAGGTTCTCATATCCATCAAAACATAGACACAATATGATCAATGGGCCTCTACAAGTCTGCAGTCCTTGATTGACTTTCTTTGCCGCGAGCCTTTTCTGCTACTCTAAGTTGTTCCGGTGTGGTCATCAACAATGAAATGGGCGTGTATGCAGCCTGTCTGCAGCTTCACGCTCCCCTGATTCTTGTTTTGCAATCAGCACAGGCCGGAATGACACACCCCGCATCACTAACGCTCACTCATAGAAGCCAAGAGAGTGGATCAGCTACAGACGTCCACAATGCTTGACTGACAAAGGACAATCCAATACAAATAGAAACCATACAGCATATATCACTTATGACAGCTAACTGAAAAAAAAGCATCTGTGTGTGGTGTTATTAATGTAAGTTTGCAGGGGCAAAGTCACACGAACAAATTATCAAATTAATTTGGATGTTTGTTTGCTTTTAATTTAACAAAAGATGAAATGAAATGAGATGTTAAATCTGCACTTACACTACACCACAAATCACTTTTCCATGCACGGAGCAATTAAAACTAATTTCCACTGCCTTAAGCATTACCTCAAGCTTTATTTCTTGCTGCGTAATGACCCAATTCCCCCTGCGCACCGTGCTCACATAGGACAGCCAGTCACCGGGTTCAACCCCACAGGTGTCCAGACTGCAAGCCGAAAAACATCAAAAGGCACCTTTTAAGACCATGTTTATGATCTACTCGGTTTGCCCAATCTGTTTAGCAGAGATGCCTCTCTAAATGTTAACTCAAGTATCGTCGAAGAATGTCCAGCTGATACTTTGCAGAGCTCTTAAAGATGACTGCTTTGTTGTTGTTTTCTGCCAAAACTCTATATTCTGCACAACCATCGTCAGCTGGGTGTTGAGGCCATAAGTGCTGGTTATGTTACTGATTATAATCTTTACGGACAGGCAAATATATCTCATTAGGAGCTGTGTGAACTTATTTTGAGCTCTACGACCAGGTTCAAACAGATTATTTGCAAAACTACCCGATACTTGTTTACTGCATAATTATGTGGCATCATCACATAACGCAGGTGACTGGCATCACTTATGACTGAACAAACAAGTAATACTGGCTATAATAACAAAACCTAAAACGTGAAAATTCATTCATTGGATGTTTAATGCGTGTAATTTAAATCGACGCGGTGACTAATAGCTGTAAAAACACAGGAAATGTATGGCAAAATGTTCTTCTTTGTGAGGGAATGAAAACATATATTAGCAACCTACAGTATATGTTTATAATATAATGTAGTTGATTACAGTTTATTAAGATGTGGAACCAGCTCCCAGTTTAAAATCAGGAGACAGAAAACCCTTTACACTTTTAATATTGGGCTTAAAACTTTCCTTTTTGCTTATAATTAAAGCTGGCTTAGGTGACCCTGAACCCTCTCTTAGTTATAGTGCAGTAGGCTTAGGCTGTTGGGGGCTTCCCATGATGTACTGAGTGTTTCTTCTCCACTCACCTCGTTTCTCTCTCTATGTGTTTTTACACAACTTTGCATTATCATTAGTTATTGAACAAACTTTTGTCTTTGGTGAGCACAAAGACTCACAAGAATGCACATTTAAAACTCAGATTGTTAACTAAAAGTCTTGCAATTGTTGCTAAAGTTACTCAGTGTTTAGACTTTGTTATATGCGTGCACTTAAGTTTTCCGTGTTGGCTGAGACTCCCGTAGCAATTAATCAAGTCCAGCCAGCGCTCATCTTGAGGATAGCTGTTAAAATGTTTAACACAGCATTCCTGTAACCTTGTGTTTAATAGAGTTTGGGGGAAATCATAGATCAAGAAGGACAAGAAATAGTCGAGAACACGGGGTAACGGTAAGCTTGCCTTGGAGATTAGAGAAGGAATAGAAAAATGGAAGTTATCAAGCAGCTGATGGCATTATACTGGAAGGTTTTAACTCTCTGCAGCACAAAACCTTGTAGAAACTGTTGTTTTAGATGACATGTAGTTTAATACCGACAAATTCAGCAACCAGCACCTGTAATGTAAGAGGAAAATGTATTACAGCCTACAGCGGTTAGGTCCCTCTCTCCCTGGTTAGCATTGTATTTATTTATCAGTGTACTAATGAGTGTGGCTGGAGTGAAAACCTGCAGATTTGTGGCCTTTCTTGACACATGGTTCCACATTCTTGTTTGAGACATTAATGAATAGCCATTTTTTGAGAAAAAAAAATGCACATTCAATTGTTTATAGGATCTAATTTGTATCTAAACCACACTCTCCATCCTGCATCGTTACCTCCAGTCTATCTGCAGTCTGCCTGCACAGCTCTGAGGGGACTACCCTCCCCCCAGGATTTGTCCACTCCTTGTGCTGTGTTCCTGGAAGACCGCAAAGAACTAATCAATGAGTCATGTGTCCTGATTACAACCAGCTCCCTATGGAGCATCTTCAAAGGGGCCCCGAAGAGATGTAGGCTAGGAGAACTATTGCCCTCCATGGGGTAATTACAAGTCGAGGCTCTATGGTCTCTAGTTCTTTTCTGTGCACACTCTGGCTTAAAGACAGACCAGACCAGTTAACAATTCACTCAGTCTTGTTAGCGCAGCGGGAGGCTATTCCAACCACTGATCACCAACTGATGGTGTATACCATCCAAAACTATACAAATCCACCCTCAACAGCATATTTTAAGAAAATACATGCTATTGCACAATGCGTATTAATTGAGAGAAGCAAGTGATAAGGTCAGTTAAAGATACTATAAACAGGGAGAGTGACATTAAGATTTGCTGCAGCTGAGTACACGCCTCTCGGTCCCAGGAAAACAAGCCAAGTGTTTAAGTGTTTATGAGTCAAAACTGCCATAAAACTAGGAAAACACATTTAAGTACTGTCTGGCTGCCTCAAGGCTTTCCGTTTTTTTCTCCACCCACTCCACTATTGCTTGTCCGGTGATATTCACACACATCATTTACTTTAGACTGATATCCAAGTCCCGTGGCTGTTTGCTTTGTCCTGTTACAGTAAAACACTGTGTTGAAGAATCCAAGAAATAGCATCTGAGGCAGTTTGCCAAACATGCAATGATTCTATGTTCTGCCAAGATAGCAGCCAGAAAAACAAAGAGCTGCAATCGCTATTATCAGTGACTGATGAGCAGCTGCATAACTGAACCCAATCTTGTGCATCTGTTGCCTATTTATTTAGCTATTACAGCTGCAGTAGTTAATTAGTGCTTGAAGTGATGACTACATAGAAAGTTAATCAGGAGTAGAAGTGTGGAGACAGTGTGGCTGATGTTGTCTTTGGGTTAAGACTCCAGTAAACCCTGTCTGCACGGCAGCAAACAGAGAGAGGCGATCAGGGACAAAACAGTCATTAGTATTAGCTTCCTGTAATGAGGGAAAATAAGAATACGTGTGTGTGTGTGTGCGTGCGTGCGTGTGCGTGCGTGTGCGTGTGTGTGTGTGTGTGTGAGTTCGTGTAACCTGTGTTATGGGTGTCAGTCAGGAAATTCCCACACAGGTTCTCTGCGTGAAAATCCCTTGCAGGTGTTCAAGTGCTCTAAAAACACAAAGAGAGATAAACAGTACTTTGTTTGCATATATTCTTGGAGTTGTTGCTAATAAGACACTAGTTTTCTGCACTGTTCTCATGCATACACATATAAATATTAGGTCACTGCCCTTGTATAAGTTTTGTTTTTGGGTTGGTTTTTTTTGGCTCTGTCAGACTGCCATCTATATTTTGTTAAACAGGTAACTTCAGCATTTAAATTAAACGACATAAATGTTTGCATCCACATCATACAATTAGGAAAGTATGGCGTAACTCCATACAGCACTGCATTTTTACATAATGCAGAACAAATCGTTATACATTACTGCCCTCATGTGGACAAACTATGTAGCCGTGACTACAGTGCCCTTTGACCTTCCTAGGTAACCTCTGCAGCTTTGGTGGCACACCATATGCTATTGGACGGACATCCAAGTTCATTGGAGTATTCGGTTTGTTCTATTAATTACATTCATACAATATAGCTGAACCAGCTGATGAATGACCTCTGTTTAGTTTCAAAGGAACATGAAGGTTACCAGCATGACCTCCTCAGTCATGATGGTTACATGATTGCTGAAGAAGCACTAAAATATTATTAACCGATATGGAGGGTGTTTTTTTGTTTGTTTTTATTAGCAACTTCTATGAATTAATGGAACTTACAGTTGAAGCATATCAGTAGAAATCCGATGAAGGGGTACACCATCTTTAGTGGGTGGGTCTGGACCCCCGAGCCCCATCAATAAGGCCAAACTAAACTTCTGACAAGGAAAAAAGTAAATGCTGAAATTAAAAATATAACATTGCATAAAAAAGAAATAATAATAATAATATAAAATAATAACATGTACTGGATGGAATTTTTTGAATAAGATAATATTTTGGCAAAAGTCTACATACAATATATTCTACACTACATTTTCAACTACATTAAATTTATACTGTACTTAAATATGGGCTAAAAGATACAAGCTTTACAGATATCATATCATTTGTGAGCAAGCTTAACAAAGTCTGCTCATCAAAGCAAGAAACTGTCCAATACAAAGGGATATTTATATAGTAATAACAATACAAGAGGGTTGATTTATTTCTCGTTTAAAGAAAGAAATGTTTCTATCGCCTAAAATTATTATATGGTAATACAAAAACTAGAAGGTCTGCATCAGTTTGAAAAAAAGTTAAGATTCTGATTATTCTTGCGGGACGTGAACGCAGCATCACACCCTAATTTTTTCCAACATCCGGGTCCTTTGGAACCAACCAGTGTGTGTGGAAACTGGGTAAGGAGGGCAGTGAGGAGCGGTGGAAAGGCGGACTGATGACAGCTGTCACTGCGGACAAAAACACTAACAATCTCTGAAGAGAACCCGAATGGCTCACCCCTGAAACTCCAGGAGACAAGGGATAACACCTCGACAGTATCGCGGGTTATTTAAAGGTGTCGCGAAGGTGAGGTATTGTTTTTGGGGGGCTGGGAAATATGACTGGAGGATCAGTGCCAATTTGCCCTGTCTGTCTCTGGAGAGTCGAGGTTAGCCCCACTAGCTATCCAAGCTAACTACCCAGCTAAACAAGTGAACTAGCTTTAGGTAGGTCTTCGGGACTGGGGGGTGGGGGTCATTGCCGGGGGATGGACACGTCTAAATAGTTCTCGTTTTCTAGAGCGTTAGCTGGGCTGAAAGCTCAATGAGAACCTAATAAGGGAACTTTTCAAATATGAATTCGGGAACGACGAAATGCTAGTTAGCACTCCCAGTTAGCTCAGCAAAGAGCTAGCTAACAGTAGTTAACGCTGGTAGCTAACGCTAAGGAGCAACACATTGCCTCACTTCATTGCATTACTTTTGTTCTAACCCAGCTGAGGCCGTTATTTTGCTTATATGACAGGGGGTAATTCCAGCTTTATTAGTGGGTGGTAACTTAACCCAGCTGATTAATGATGGGTGGCTAATCACCCTATTCTTTGTCAAGGATCAGTATTCGTTAAGTTGCCTGCAGCGTCTGTGATTAGTGCGTTTGACTCTTGGACCTACGCGGTTTAGCTCATCAAACGTCTGCATGGAGTGCTCATGTCTCACTTGGATCCTCTGACTCAGCCGGATCCTAAACTAGGCGTTTTCCCCCCCGTGTCTGTACCAGCCATCCACAGTGGGCTTTTGTCTAGTGATAATGTTAACTCTAATATTACTCTTATGTCTATCAACGCATGTGGAATACCCATTACATCAACTTAAAATGCAAGCGTAATCAGTGGACAGGTATTGTTTGTAGATTTATTTTTTTAATTAATTGTGTTATTCATTCTGTACACTTTATCATGCTGCGTTTTGGGTTGGTATCTCTGGCTGGTTTAAGCTACCAGAGCTCCTTCTATATGCATGTCACATTAAAGCTGGTTCATGTCAGTCACAAGTGTTTATCCAAAGCCCTTGTGGGTGCCATACAAGGGTCTGTTTTTGCAGGAGTGAAAATAAGAGATATGAAGTGTCTGAGTTGGGAGTGCAGAACGCATACACCGTGAAACACAGCCAAAAGGCATATGTCTAATTATTCTATCATTTGACTTTGTTTACTGACTTGTTGAAATTATTTTTATCTGCTTTTGTTCCTCCAGGAATTAACACACGTTTCCATCTCCTGGGCTTACGCAGTATGAGTTCCAGTACTAACATGGGGACACAAGGCACTGGTAGAAAGCGTGCTCCTCTAAAAGATCGGTTCTCAGCAGAGGATGAAGCGCTGAGTAGCATTGCTCGTGAGGTAAGGTCATTCATCACCTACATTAATTTTGAAGCTTACTGCAATGAACCTGGGATGCTTTCTCCATAAAAGGTTCCCCTTATGCAATCTGAATCAATGCAAATCAGATTTTTATTCAGCTCAAATGTTCTTGTTTATCCTCGTTGAGATAATGGGGGCTTCAAGTATAGACAGAAGACTGATTTGTCAATTTAAGGGTGGCTAACCCGGGCAACAGAACCATCACTTTTTAAAACTACCAGTTGTAGTACCAAGTAGTTTCTTAAGAGCATTGTCAGTACTCATATGCTTGCCTAAGCAGCATTATGGTTTGTGAGAGCCCTTTTAAACTGAACATGGCGATTAAATCTTTTGCCTAAGCTTTATAATGTAAATGCATGTGTCTACTTACTTTTTGTAACCCTTATTCTATCATTGCAATTACTTAAACCAAAGAAAAAACTCAGGTCATCGTAATGATTTTTCATCAATGTGAAACATTTCAAGAAGACAGAAGTATTTTTTTTTTTACTTACATTTGTGTGAATTCAAACAAAAAGAATTAAAAATGTTAATTATCTTTTGGCCTGAGAGATTGTGGAAAGTATTTACCAATAGCTTTTACACCATTTGAAATTGAGCTAACAATTTTAGAGCCCAGGTTTGGAGTAACCTGGCTGACCTTACTGATGTTCCAGTGTTGTTTTTTGAAAAACTGGTTGAAAGTTGAGACCAAAGGCTACTCAGCAGAACTTGTATGCAATCTATCAGGTTTCAGACTAGGTTAGCTATCAGTTTAGTTTAACAGCACATTGAATTAGAGAGGTGTACGAAGACTGCAGGGCGACTGATGTTAATTTGAAGTGTGGTGCTCAAAGTTGCATTATCAAAAACCTTCATATCTATATTTAGATATTGATGTTTGTGTTTTTCTAGTTAAGTTGTGAAGCAAGTGAAGATGGCTGTTTTGGAGTCCACAGAGGTTGACTTCACTTGTAGTGTTTTTGTTCACGAAGGAAAAACGCAGGCAAAGAAAAAAGCTGCCTGGCTTGTAACAACATGCCCTGGGATTATTCCATTTTGTTCCACTACAAGCCTTTCATTCCTTCACTTTTCTCCACAATATTGTGGATAACAGCAGAAAAAGCAAATATTGTTTTTGGTTCTTGTTGTATTGTTTTAAATAGTTTTTAAAGGGATCTTTAAATTCATATTTGCATGTAATAGTGATTCTGCAGGTTTTTTTTCCTGTAAAATTTAGGCTAAATCAGATAATTTCTTGCCTTTAAAAGCTTAAACCTAACGATAAATATCAGCCTTTAGTTGATGTTTATATTGACCTTTAAGAGCGAAGTCTTTGATGATCGAAAGCGGTGCAGTTCCTCATTCTTGAACTCTAAGCACAAGGCTCCATTTGCTCTCTTTATAGTTACACAGGCTCATCATAGAAACATGAGTCATCCAACCCTCCCAGTCAGGTCCTAAGTCTCATTCTCTTTGTGCTGCTAACCAGAGATTAGACTGTTTAGGGAGTTCAAGGGGTCAGTGTCTAACTTGTTTCACGTCACCACCTGCCCAGATTCTTAAACCTCTGCAGCTCCTACCTTGTGGTCAGGAGAGCCAAAAGTCGACCAGTCTAAAGTCTTGGCACAGTCCCCGACTGAGAGTGACTGTGAATTTGAGCCTGCACCATCACCAGACTAGTTTTGAGGCCCCTTACATTACTGGGCACTCAATCTTTGGAATACTGGCAGCTTACAAATCAAGCAGGGGACAAGTATTAGAATTAGATTATCACCTCATAGGTGTTGTCCCTCAGATAGGGATCTAAGGAGTCAACTATTTGAACAAAGCCATGCATGTCTTTTTTGATGTAGAGAGAGGAGTGTCTGTGCACAAACTATAGTTCGTAGTCCATTTGATTTCATTTGTGATATCACCAAGTCGCTGTTGCAATGGAAAGTGTACAACTTTCCTTATATGGTTAGGAGTGTTAAGAGTTCAAAGAACAAAGCACCTATTACAGTCTGTGTTCATAAGCGTTTGGATGGCTGCTGGGATACAATCACTACCACTCCTATCCCCATTAAAACCTGTTTTTAACAATTATTATTTGGATTTCTAAAAGTAAGACATAGAGGAGTTAGCATTTTCAAGACTGGTTGAGTATAATTCAAAGAGAGCCGAGACCTGGTGGTTTGCTATTTACAGGACTAGTATAGAGGACATACTAATCAGCTATCATAATTATTTCCACTGGAGTTAAAACAAGCTCAAACAGACCTCCCTTGTAAATGTGGCATTGAGTCTCCTATGGAGCGCACAAACACAACATAACAATCTTGTTTAGCAGATTGTTGCATAAATAAAGGTCAATTTAAAAAGCTCAATATTGACTGTTTCATTTCAGATTGCGATAATGTACAGTATGTTATCTAAATATTAATATTACATAAATTTCAGCATTTACTGCTGAATTTATTATGAAGAATTGTAGGTGATTAAAAAGTTATTGGTCAGTTTCTCACAGCCCGGCATTTTCCAGTTATTACGGACTGAAAGATTTTTGTTTGTTTTTTTATTTTGCAGAGAATTGGGGTTTAATTACAGTAACCTTGAATACAGATTCCTCATTCCACATACTTATTTTTAATTTTACAATAACTTTGACATTTACATTAACTTCTTGTACAGTGTGTGTTTTGCTTCAGGTTTTACAGTGGCATTTTATAGATCGTGTACCGATTAATCTGCTCTTTTTTTTTCTTTCTTTCTTTTTTTAATAAGTTTCACATTTTCAGAGAGCTCAGATGTCTTGAAGTGTTTTCTCAACACTATTCCCAACACTCAAGTCACTTTACTTTGACATAAACCAGAGGAAAAGGAGCCTTCTGTTACATTTCTTATTACTTGAATTTTGGTGAATATCCCCATATGGTGGATTAATCTTATTGCCTCAAGTGTAGGAGGAGTGTTTAATGGCGAACTTCTACTGCTCGGGTTACCTTCTCAGGCCCATGATGTGGCAGTCAGAGAGCAAGGCTGGATGGGCCAGTCTATAGATAGGACAGACAGAGAAGCTCAGCTGTGCTGCTGTGCAGAGCAGGTCATACTGTCAGACAGATCAACAGGTGCAGAGCACACGGCCAGCCATCTCATTTGCTTTCTCATTTGGTCTCTCTTACACACTTGCAACTTTACTTCCTTTTTCACCTTGTACAGATCACAGTGCAGGATATTAAGTTTACCGTAGGTCAAACGTCTGTTCTGGCAAAAACATGGCTACCACATATATCCCCAAATAAAACTGAACATCCAAACCACAACTTATTTTTCATAAGCGACTTGCTCAAAATATTGGAGTTGCTATTATATGTTCATGAAGTTGGTAAATTATTATTAATCAAAATTAACTCTTGATACTGTGGTGTTAGACTGTCTACTTGCTGTCTACTCATTGCTCCCTCTACATCGCTATGAGTCTTTGTACAGGCTGCAGGAGTGACAGAAACCAGGCAATAACAGGGCTTAATTTGGAGTTGAGGTTAATATTTAGCCAATGATGTTGTCATTTTAAACAGTGAAAGTGAAAGTCTGCACCGACTAACAGGTACTTATCTTTGCTAATTAGTATGGTTGTGCCAATTGTGAAGGTCTGGCCTGATAACAATGTTGAAAATAAAAAACTGTCTGCTCTTGCTGTTGCTAATTTAGTTTATTTATTGTTTTTTTTGTGTGTGTGTTTAGGGGTGTGTGTTTTGGTTTGTTTGGGGTTTCTTTTCTCTCTCTCTTTTCCCTTTTCCATTTGTGTGGGGGTAACAAAGAACTCTGTATTTATCACTCTCTCTTTGAACACTGGTGTGAAACGGAAGATAGAAACATCAGCCTCTTCCATTGGTAAATGTCATCTTATTTGCAGATGTCAGTCAGTGGTGCATCTTTCCTAATGAGCAAAGAGAAAGGAGGACTAATGGGTAGAGCAGGGCGATATGACCAAAAATATTTATCATGATATACATTTGGAAATTTGCGATAACGATATGACTGACTATATAATTGACACTAGACAACATGCTTTACAACTCCCCAACTTTATTAGTGCAAAAAACCCCATCAATGTATTTTCACTTAAACAAGCAGCTGTTTTTTATGTGCATTAAAGTTATATAAAGACGTAACAGTGCAAATGCAAATTCCTTGCTGACAGTTTAACCAAAAGGCATTTCCAGTGGAAACTGGCCGACATATCCTCAGCATAACCATGTATAATATCCACAAAACTTAAAAAGAGGTTATATACACACACACAATACGGTAATATTATGTTGAAGCACAGTACGTATCACTCCGCGAGGCGCCTACCTAATATAGCCGTAATCCATCAAGCGGTGCGGGTTCGTAGCTTAGCAAAGTCGTACTAAAACATTTGACAGATTTTCGAGCGCCGTGTACGACATAAAATCGTTTCGAGGTCAGTAAACACAACCAGAATTCATACATAAGGCCCACGGGATTATAAGGGGCACTGTCGATTTTCAGAAAAATCAAAGGATTGAGTTTAAGTGTGCCGTATTTTCCAAACAACACGGCCCGCTAGCATGCTCTACTAAAAATAGTGCTTTGTTGTGTATCTGACGGACGAAAGCTAAACCAGTTCCACACCACTGAAGTTGCAGCATTTTTACAAATCAATTCTGGTTCATCCGTTTCATTCAACGATCCACTTTCGCTCTTCTCATTCTGCGTCGCCGCCGTGTGCATATGTAAACAAAGGCACTGCGCATGCGCGTTTTACCCATATTCTATCTAGAGATGGCACGATACCACTTTTTTATGACCGATACCGATATCATAAATTTGGATATCTGCCGATACCGATATGAATCCGATATAGTGTGTTTTAATCAACAAAACTGGTTTTTTTTTAAATATCTTGCTGCATTTTGTATAAGTTCATACTCAAGTTTAAAACAACAACTACACTAAAGATATTCTGTTATACCTGTATGCAAAAAAAATATTTCATAGTTCAGCAATACTGATCAATCTAATAAACTTAAACCTACACCATCCTCCCTATTCTGGTATTTTAAAGAGTACTTAGCGTAAATATTAAGCAACCTAACTAATAGGGTTCCAACTCCCAGCAACAACAAAAATAAATAAATAAAAAATAGGGACCCACCCCTCACGCTCCACCTCATGATGCTTAATCGACGTAATCAACCTTAATTTGATGCAGTGTGAAAAAAAAAAATGCACAGAAATCAATTATTTTTCAATATATTAAAATATTAAATAAATTCAACATCTTTCTTCAACAGAATTGCAGACTGCACAGATGGTACCTTCCCAAAGGAAAAAGTGCTATAGCTTACTAGGGTGTATATATATACAGTGGGGCAAAAAAGTATTTAGTCAGCCACCGATTGTGCAAGTTCCCCCACTTAAAATGATGACAGAGGTCAGTAATTTGCACCAGAGGTACACTTCAACTGTGAGAGACAGAATGTGGAAAAAAAAATCCATGAATTCACATGGTAGGATTTGTAAAGAATTTATTCGTAAATCAGGGTGGAAAATAAGTATTAAGCAACAAAGGAGTGGCTCCGTAAGAAGCATTTGAAAGTCCTGGAGTGGCCTAGCCAGTCTCCAGACCTCAACCCCATAGAAAATCTGTGGCGGGAGTTGAAAGTCCGTGTTGCTCGGCGACAGCCCCAAAACATCACTGCTCTCGAGAAGATCTGTATGGAGGAATGGGCCAAAATACCAGCTACTGTGTGTGCAAACCTGGTAAAGACCTATAGTAAACGTTTGACCTCTGTTATTGCCAACAAAGGTTATGTTACAAAGTATTGAGTTGTATTTTTGTTATTGACCAAATACTTATTTTCCACCCTGATTTACGAATAAATTCTTTACAAATCCTACCATGTGGATTCATGGATTTTTCTTTCACATTCTGTCTCTCACAGTTGAAGTGTACCTCTGGTGCAAATTACTGACCTCTGTCATCATTTTAGGTGGGGGAACTTGCACAATCGGTGGCTGACTAAATACTTTTTTGCCCCACTGTATATATTAGACTTAATAGTTACTATATACAGTAATTGACTTCTATTCATTTTACATCAAATTAAAACTTTGGGTGTCAGATAATTATTTATTAAAAGCTAGACATTTTAAATGAGAATAAGAAAGAAAAGTATGTCTTTGTGCCCCCTTTTCCCTGTTCATGCCCTATCGGCCCCCCTGGCTAAACTTTGCTAGATCCGCCCCTGCACAGTTACCAGCCGTCAGCTACGTAGAAAAAGATCCTGGTGTAGAAAGTAATATTAAATAAATTCTAACAACAGCTTATCAAGCTTAAACGTGCTGCTGTTGTTCAGCCGCTGGTTTCCTCTTTCTGGTGCAAAGTGGGCCAAAAACAAACAAGAGAGACGGACTCGCGACAGAAAAGCCGATCAGCTGATCATTAAGCAGTTTCATGATTGAAGTAGCAGCAAGAAGAGGCACTCGCTCCATATATCGTTTGTTAAGCTTAACGCAGGAATGCTGTACAAACATTCAGAGATGGACTTACACACTTGCTTTACTTCTCTCGGGGATAACTTTGTCGGAGATGAAATGCCGGGTTGCTAGCGAAGCTCCAAATGCTATCCAGACCACCGACAGGTCCAGCATCCCACAGCCGCTCTATCACGTGATGCCTACTGCTCCGATGTGCTAACGTTCTGAGGCGAGTTACGGCGTGTTGCAAGTTTTGTGAGGTGCTTTCGTGATATTTAATGGATCGGATTACATTTTTTATTTTTCTCCGATATCCGATCCAGTAATTTAGGTCAGTATCGGACCGATACCGATACGTAATATCGGATCGGTCCATCTCTAATTCTATCACGATATTTCATTTTCCTATCGTTGCCCAAAATTACACCGGTATTACCGTGAACGGTATGATATAGCCCAGCCCTACTAATGGGTTTGTTTTTGTTGGAACTTAACTAATTTTGCCAGCCTGAGTGTGAGTTGAGTCACTTCTGTGACCAAATAATTTTTCACAGTGGCACTCTGGTTTTCAGTCACAGAGCAGTGAACTGCTTGCAGTGTTGATCCCTAATGTCTTTTAAGAAGAGAACACTGGCAGGCTTTAGTTGGAAATGCAGCAAGGACAAGATCAGAGTTTGGTTAATGTATTTTAGCTGATACTAATCTATTAAAACATGTCTGGATATGAACATCTCTAGCTTGTATTTGTTGTTAGGATTAAATGATAATTCATCTGCTAAACAAGATTGTTAAATTGTGTTTGTGCGCTTCAGGCTATTATTGAAACGGGAATAGCGTATGTCCACAGGCGTTCGATTCTGGCAGTGGAGATAAGAAATTGCTGGAATGCTGACAGTGTTTGTCTGCAGTGAGATACTGTACACACTACCCCCAGTATTTATGGACTGCCTTTTAGCTAGAGATAAAGAGCTTATAGTTTCACGAACAAGTTTGCCATTCTCTGTTTGTGGCATGTTTAGTTTCAGAGCATGTTTGGTATGCCGTATTCAGTACCCAATGAAAGGCTAGGCTACATAGTCACCTGTGTCTAATCGGAGCTGTGAAGGGGTTGCTCACATTAGCCTCCATGCTCTGTAAAATTATCTCCTGTTTATAATCTGACTCACTACAACAAATTGTGCAATAAAAGAGGAGTTTTGGTATTCAGGTTAGCTTTTATTTATAGCTGTTTTGTGCTTCAGGGTCACTTGGATATTGTGAAATTGTTTTCAGGCTGACTCATGTTGTTTTTTTGTTTGTTTTTTTTCTATTTGCTCTGCTTCTCAGTTTATTTGTGCGCTATCGGCATCTCCCCTTGTGAGGGCTTTAAATTAGCCCTCCTGAAGCTAATGGTTAGCACATGTTGGTGGGGATGAGGCATCTCAAGCACTCAACGGGAGCTGTGGCACAGAGGAAGCTGGTCCACAATGTAATATGGACTCTGCAAAGTTTCCATACCGTAAAAAGACAGACGTTTTAGCACCTGTAGCAATATTTGAGTTTAGAAACAACAACAACAAAATCAGCGAATATTAATGTTATTTTTGTCGAGGCAAAACAAAAAAGTTCAATAGAGAAATCTTTGATATTGCTTAAGAATAAGGTATTTACAGAGCAGATCATTTTACAGTTACATTGAGTGGTCTCTACTGTGTGATTAAAGCAGTGTTTGTGAAATAAAAACAAATCTCTTTATTATAATTTTCTTTTTTAAATAAGCACTAATTTGTCTTTATCATCCTGGTAGATCCATAAACTAGGTCGTTTTTGGTGATTTGTTATTGTTGATGTGTTGTTAAAACTAAGCAGGGCTTCATCTTATGTGACAGCACGACCTTCAAGCGAGTGTGAAGAAATGAAATCAACCCACGTCTGCCAGATGCCTTCTCTTTTACAGGAAACTGTTCAATATCCAAACATACTCATGTAAATTCTACAGTGTGATTATTTTTATTGCAGCGCTCTGCTGTCTCTTTTATACCTTTTATAAGTTTCCATTTGAGATTGACAGGTGTGTTCATGTTGTGTGTTACAGGCGGAGGCGAGGCTGGCAGCAAAGAGGGCGGCTCGGGCAGAGGCAAGAGACATTCGAATGAGGGAACTTGAACGGCAACAGAAAGAGGTAAGTGGACCTGATAGGCAAAGATACTCTGACCGTAATTCAGGCCATCAGGTACTCTGATTTACTGCTGTGTCTGTTAGCACAAATGTTTTGTAATTTTACTATGGGATTTGGTCTTGTTTTCTTTCTGCTAATCACATTTTAATGTTTTGTCGCTACCTCCTGTTTGCAAAGTGCTCATCTGCATCCACAGCAGACGATCTACAAGCTGTTGGCTTTATAGCATAAAAGAAAGTCTACAGTGACAGTTCACATACAGAAATATACCCATGGAAAGAAAAAAATGAAAGTGCTGCATGTCCACAAATCAACAAAAAAATCTTCTATTCCTGGTTTAAATGTCACCCAGTTTTTCCGTTTCAGCAGTTTTGAATGAAATATGATTGTATGTTTTTCCTGGCATTTCCTCCCTCTGCCCAGCTTTCTTACCGCTCATCCAGCAGTAGCAGCAGAAAATGGGGTCAGATCCACCAGTGGATGGTAGGCCAGTGAGGCAGTGTTGTTGCTTCCATTTCCACTAACACAGCCTGTTGTGTGGGACTGAGTCCCAGTCAACCCTGACAATTTAGCTACACTTGACTTGCTGACTACTATGTACCTCACTGTGGAAATATGCCTCAACAGTGTATTTGCTTTGGAGACACCATAATCTGTGACTGTGTATTTGGAGAGCAGGCTTTGGCCTTTGACTTTATTTAGAGTGGGTGAGTCTGTATGTAAGGAGGCGGTTTGGACCGTTAGCTGTACTCCTCCAGCTACTTAAGAAATGATAGTGTCTTAAATGTTTATGAACTACTTCTGCATGAAATTAATCTGTGTTGGTGTGTTGATGCAGAAAATAGGTTTTCACTGTGTGCTGTTTAATGAGACAAAGGTTTGTAATATATTAGCATGTCTAGTTTATCATTAATCCTGCCGTTTTGCTTGAAAAGGCTAACATTTGCAAATGTTTATGACACCCATTTGGTGATAAACACGCAGAGGTTTTTTTGAATGGCTCGGGCTTTGCACAGCAACCAAGTGTTCCAGTGATCTCTCTGCTTTCACTCCAACTTTCCTTCCTGAATCTAGGCTGACGCAGAAAAAGCCAGAGCCTCTAGTAGTAGTAGATCCAGCAGCCGTCATCAGCGGGTCTGTATCTCCCCTACATACTTCCTCTTTGTCTCCCTCTATTTCCTTTTCTTATTTCCCCTTTAGGCATACAGTTAATCTCTCATCACTCATGTGTGTCTCTCTCTATCTGCTTTTCTACTGTGACTCCATATTTCCACATTAACAGGGGCTGGATGATGATGTCACGTCAGTCCGCAGCTACAGGGTGCGTACATAATACACCCCTGCCAGGTTTATTAAGACTGCACACTCATAGGGGCACACTAATGTGTGAAAGCCGTTGCTCTTGTGTGGAAACCAGTTGTTATATATATTAAGATTTGGCTGAACTGTGTTTTATTTTGACAGTATTGACTGTTGCTTTAGTTTTCTCTGAGAAATTCCCTGCTTATCTTTTTTTTTAATGTTTTTTATTCTAAGTCGTCGTCATCAGGAATACGTGACTTGGGGTCTAAGAGTCAATCCAGTTCCCGTAGAAAAGATGCCTTGGTTTGTTCTCTGTGCATATGTGTGAGAGTAGTTTGAAGGCTAAATAGTAGATTCACCTAACCTTATTTTTGCAAGCAGATCTAACTCCTAGATGGCAACTGTTTTAGAGTAGTTACCTTTTTTGTTGAAGTTTCTCATCTACTAATCTTGAAATGCCTTTTCAGTGCAGTTTGCACCATGATATTTTCTGAATGCCTGGCTTTATGATTCTGATTCATTCATAAGAAAACTTGGTGTGACATTTTTCAGCTTTTAAATTCTTTTTTTTCTTTGTGCTGGAAATGCATGCACATTGACACTGGTTCTTAGATATCATAATGGTATATTTCTACCCACTAGTATATGCTCATAGTACTGTATTGTTTGCCCTGCTTGTGGTCTTGGCTGTGAAATAAAAGTGATACAGTGCTTTCCTGAGGTGTTGTAGGTAATATAAGGGCAATATAATGTCATGTTACGGTTATACGTAATTTTAGTAGTTTTCCTAGATTGTTGACAGGCACCCTGATGGCCTCATAATATATCACACATAAGTGAAGTTTTGCAGATAGATAGATATCTATATCTATCTAGAGAGAGGATTTTGTCATAAATACAAACGATGCAATGCTTTTAAAAGGTGTTATAGGCACATAAATGTCCATTGTTAGGCGGTTGCCAGGTGATATAATGACAACATCATATCTGAAATGGATAAAGAACCTTGTGGGGCCTGAGTGGCAGTGTGCGTGTCAAGTTTGGTTGCTCAGTTTCTGGTCGTACAGCATGAGTTGGCAGACAAAGAAACAAAGTCACAGATTCTAAACTGTGTAAGAATAGCAGGGTGTACAGTTCAGCATTACCAAAAGCTTTTTCAAAACACAGTTATGTGTCTAGTACACCAAACATATGCATGCATTTGTAGAAGTTGACCTAACAGCATCCCAGATGTTTTTTTTTTCGTTTGGTTGTTTCTGTTGTTTAATCTTTATCCGATCATAATTCTGTGGTCTCTCCTCCTCAGTCTGATGGCATCTCTACTAGCTCTGCGCTCAAGAGTTCACGCTCCACTGTATGAAACTTAGGTGTTTGCCATTCTTTATAACTTTCTTTTTCTTGAAGTTCCTGTTTCCCATTACAGCTGCATTTTCTTTCTCTTTGCATTGTTTTTCTGTGTTGAACAGAGTTCTGTGTACAATGATCTGCATAGCCATAAGAAGGCTTCATCCCGGCCCTCAAAGAAAGACCTTCTGGTCAGTGTTGTTGTCTTGGCTGTGATCTCAAGCATGGAGATGGTGTAGAGTCATTGTGGTGGCTTGCAGTGGTATTTTCTTGGCAGCTGACTTTACCCTTTACTTGTCATCACCGTGTGAAGTGGCGCATAGATCAAGAAGTGTTAATAAAACACACACCAGAGGATGAAATTTCTGTTGGTGGTTATATCCTTCCAGACTGGGCTGTACCACGATCAGAGGAACTACACCAGCCTAACAAAGACCAAACCACCACCTCTTCTCTCCACCTCTACCTATCGGGTTGGTCCTTTGCTGTGCAACTTTTAGTTGACAGACACTCACTGAAAATGGAGCCAGCTGAAGCTGACTATTCCTGTCTGCATGGTGTCGTTTAGTGGAGTTTTTATGTGTTACATATTTGTTAGATATTTGTAATAAGGGGCATTGTTTGTGTGTCATAATAATCAGGGTAGAGAGAAACATACCAGTTGGCGCATAGTGTTGCTCAGAACTTTATACCCACACTTCTTAAAATCATTTGAATTCATGTAAATTACTATGACCAGGGTGTTATTTAAATGGACATGTCATGTCTTATCACACTTTGAGCTCAAAGTCCTAAATGTGTTAGGTTCAGCAAAACATTCGTCCTGTTTCCACTCGCTGCTTCTCTTTATTCTCTCACCGCCTCACTTTTCCACAATGGTCTGCCTCTGTCCTCTAAGGTGACCTTTCCCTGCTCCTTTCCTCTCCAACAGGCCACCACTTCCTCACCCTGCACCACTGGCACAGGGCTGTCTCGCAGCTACAGCACGGTCAGTTTTTGTTCTCTAAGTGGCCAGCATCTCTGCACGCTTCTAGTTGCCTTCAGAGGCAGACCTCCCCCCTCTGTCACAGCCACGTACATGAGATTGGATGCCCAGTGTGGCTGGGTCTGCTTATATTTAGCTCCTGGACTCTGCGCACTTATCTGTGGGCAGATTTTTGTGCTTCGGTTAGATAAGACAGAAGTCTGTGTGAAGCCAAGGCTTCTGATGTGGAGCACTGAAACCAAGCTGAAGTTGGAAAACCAAGTATTTGTTTATTGCATGGCTAAAAGAGAGTCTGTTTAGCTAGTGCGTCATAGATTTATGTGTGCTCTCGTGTTTTGCTGAGTCCTACGTTGTCTCCCACGTGTACCCTCAGGCCTCTATTTGCGACGACGCTGGCCTTTACGGCTCAGGCTACAGTTCAAGAGCTGTAAGTCTTCTGTTTGTCGAACCACGTTATGTTTGCATTGTCATCCCACAGCAGTTTACTGTTATGCCATTAGTGTGATGTCTGGCTCCATGCTGATCCTGTCCTCCTCCTCATCCCATCCACAGCCCTCTGAATACAGCTGGTACTCCTCTGGAGCCAGCTCCACTCGTAGCAGCCCTGTGGTGAGCACCTTAAAACCACCGCCAATCTGCATGAGAGCACCCAAAAACCTACTGCTAACAGCCTCCTCCTCACCTCCTCTCACCGTTTCAGGAAAGCATTTTTGACAGACTTTGTGTGACAAGTGTGTGAACAGTTCTGTGCAGGCTGAGAAGTTGTAGCAAGGTTTAACTTTGGTCCAGCTGATGCATCTGAGATAATTATCCTAAATGCATAAAATTGAATTAGGTTTCTTACTGCTGCTTTAAAGTAAATCAATTCTATTTAAGACCAAGACTTGGAATTCTGTCAGTTGCTGTTTGCTGTATAAAAGTACAGTGATTCCTCATTTTGTGACGTTTGTCTGTGTGCGTATTTGTGTCAGTCTTCCTCAGATGATGACACTGTCAGCAGTGTGTCCCAGGAACGCGGTAGCAGAGGCAGGAGGGACAGTGGGGTGAGCTGTAGTAATGGGGTAGTTGATGTGGCAGTAAACTTAAGCGCTTTTGCTTTTTTAATTGTATTGTACTGGGCATCAATAATGTAATACTCATTTGGCCCTCTCTTATCCTGTCTCTGCCTCTTTCTCTCTCTCTCTCTCTCTCTCTCTCTCTCTCCCTCTCTCTCTCTCTCTTCATCCTGCGCCTGTTGTAAGTAGTCTTCTGACCTCTTGGACATTAGTGAATCGGCCGCTGATTATTTCAGCCGCTCCAACCGAAGAGGCAGTATTGTGTCTGACCTTGATGATTTGAGTATTCCAGATTTGGATGCTGTAAGTGACTGAACAAAGTTCCAGACGGTGTGCTTGGGAATGGAGTCTAACACAAATTACTTACAAATAAAAATGACAGAAGTGGCTTACGCACGATTAAAAATTATATTTGGTATTTAAAACTCATTCATATTTTTTTGTTTTGTTTGTTTTTGTGTGGAAATTAATCTGTTATTGATAGTAGGGTGCTGTGGGCCACTGCAGTGGTTGTGATTGCAGCATGGACTGCTGGGTATCTAATGTATTGGTGTCTTGATCAGCTGTCAGCTCTGTAGTTTTTGTGAACATGCAGCACTTTTACCTAACTCATATTAACTTGTAAACTGCTTTTACAGATGAGGAAACGGCTTCAAGCTTGACCATACAGGTTGTATGTTCCTAATTTATTGCATGAATATGAACTAAACTGATGGGGGTTTTTTCTTGCTTGCTTTGCAGCTGGATGAAAAATGTGACAAGCAGTATTCAGATTATAGTAGAGTAAGTGCCATTACTTTTTTTTTTTTTTTTTTTTTTTTCTTAAGCAAAGAATTAAATGATCTCCAATGATGGTGTTTTGGGGATACTGTGCAAAATAATTTTTAAGCTAGTTAACACTGACCTATGAATCATTCAGGTATTAAAAAAAAAAAAAAAAACACACATAATAACCAGTATCATTTCTACACATAACAGACGTCTTGCCAGCAGCCTGAAGTAAAAACAAATCATTTGTTCCCTTTTTCTTAGTTGAAACTGTGAAAAATGCCCTAATTTAAAAGTTTGACAGGCAGAAAATGGAACAAGTGAAGAAGACAGACCCTTAGAGGTCGTTAAGAAATAGGGCATAGACCTGACACAGGACCTGAAAGACCCATCTGACGTACTGTTCACTAAAGCCTCAGAAATGGTCTCAGCAGAAGTGTGGCTGTCAAGAAGCTGTTGTTTAGTAAGGGGAACGGGGAGAAAAGCCTGAGGTGTGCCAGGTTACAAGAACCGAACCGAAAATCAGTGGCAACATGTTTTATGGAGTAATGAATCCAAATTTGATTAGTTCAAAACATCACCAAAATAAGTACGGGTACAACAGTCATCCTTAATTGTTTGGTTTGAATTCCAATTTTGCTACGTTTTGATAAATTGCTACACCTATTTACATATTTTGCTACACCTATAGAGATTTGAGGGATCGCACAAGACTTCTGTACATCCTGTTTGAGTCATGCAGAGGTTGCTATAACAGATGTCTTCAAAGGACAGTTTTGGACAGTCTTGGGGATAAGAGGTCGGAATATTGTTGCTTTTCAGACATGTAGCGCACACCAGAAGATGATCTCCATCGGATCATTTCTCACTGTTAGAGAGGCTTTTGTTTGGTTTAGGCAAGGGTGCATCCTGGGTAGAGCCAGGATGCGTGTCACCCTCACTGTGTTATTATCATGTTATCTCACATCAACGCGAGGCAGGGTTAGCGAGTGTTTCATTTCAGATCGCACATACAGCTTCACCAGGTAGCGCTAAGAAAGGGTGTGTGTGTGTGTGTGTGTGTGTGTGTGTGTGTGTGTGTGTGTGTGTGTGTGTGTGTGTGTGTAAACAACTATAGTACAATTATACAAAGGAATGTGGAGAGCAGAATGACACCAGACACGTTTCTGGTTGCAACTATTGCACTCCTCATCACAAAGTTAATTAAAAAAAATTAAATGTAATGTCTGAGTCATCAATAAATCAAATTCCACTGGGAATTAATTTTCTGTATTACATGCAAGCACAAAAAAATGGGAATAAAAGTAACCTAGTGTATACAAACAGCCGTTTGGGAGTCTGAGCTGGTTTCTCTTTCAGGTGGATTTGAATAGAACAGGATTACTCAAGAGCCATGTAGTATCAGATGATTGCTTTGCTGTGCTGTGCTGCGTTTGTTTTTCTCACTGGGGTTTGGGGTACTTTATGTCCTCAGCCATCCTCCCGGTGTGCCACCCCAGGCCTCTCGGCAGCCACCCTGGCATCACTGGGTGGTACCTCATCACGTCGAGGTAGCACAGACACCAGCAGCGCCTACGACCCCGACACCAGTCTGAGTGAACTTAGGGTAAGAAGTTCAAATACACACAGTGTCACTTTTCTATAATAATTAGTGAATAACTGATTAGAAGTTAGCACACAAAATTCCAATTTGATTTTGGATGTTTGATTATTGTGTTTTTGAGCCTTTCATGTAAACACATATTCCTTCTGGAGCGTTGCCTCTGCTGCCCTCCTGCTGTTCTTTGTGTCTGCTTTAACCAGTTTTCTGTGTGTGTGCATGGGAGGACTGGATGGGACATGTGCCCATGACACTGTCTGTCTCTAAGTGGGCATCTGTATGTCAGCTGGACTGTTTGACATGGCAGCACGGGTGCTTTGTTGTCTCTCCCTTTTATACTCCCCAACCTCTCTGATGCCCCAGTTCACCCCAACCATTCCCTCCATCTGCTCTACAGGATATCTATGAACTAAAGGACCAGATTCAGGATGTAGAAGGGCGGTACATGCAAGGGCTTAAAGAGCTGAAGGTAGAGGGGCTTGAGCTCACAGCATGTCTTCTCTTGTCCTCTGGGAGCAGCATGACTTCACTAACTCACACTGCCTCCCCACTCACACCCCTTGAAGTCTGTCCTGTAGCTCCTAACACCACAGCTGTTTCTTTGCCTGCTACCAGTCAGAATTGCGCAATGACTCTTTATTCCTGCATGGTCTTCTCCCTCTTCCTGTTTTGATCTTAAATGAAGACACTCCCTCAGTTAGTGCTGGTTTTTAATGTCTTAAGAAGAAGAGTAAAAGCTCCACCTGCTGACAGATCAGTCGTTCTTTCAAATTATTTCTTCCACCCAGGCTTTCTTTGGCACAGGGTTCAATGGCCCTCTGGCTCACTGACTTTCACCGCAACTTCCTGTCCTCTAAGGAAGGAAACTGTATGTTTTTATTGATAAGAGTAGTTTACTAACAATCTTATGTTCTTGATAGTTGGATACAACTGGTGCACTTTTAACTGGTTTTCTGCTTTCTGGTGCACTCATAGTTTTTTTTTCTGCCTTATTTCACTGCTGAAAGTGGTTGAAGGCATTTTTATTATTGTATGATCATTTTCACCATTTGTGCATTACATAGTCCCAAATTACATATTCAGTATTTTTAATAGCAGTTTTGTATTTTAAATATCTTTTTATTAATCTGAAACTTAAACATGTGTAGCATGTTTGGCCATTTCATGTTTGATGTGTTACAAAAGCTGTTCTTATACCAGAGAACGCACCTGTTGCATGTAGGTGGAGTGTGAAATAATTAATTAATTTTTTTACGTATTAACATGTTGCAAACCTTTATCAGGAGTCACTCACAGAGGTAGAGGAGAAGTACAAGAAAGCCATGGTATCGAATGCACAGCTGGACAACGACAAAGCCAACCTCATCTATCAAGTGGACACACTCAAGGATGTCATAGAGGAGATGGAGGAGCAAATGTCAGAGATGAAGAGGGAGCTGGAAGAAAAGTCGAAGGTGATAAATCTCCCGTGTGGTAACCTGTAACGTCCCAAACTCTTTACAGAAGAGTTGTGGCTAAAATGTTCTGTCTGTGCTTTCAGGATCTAGAAAGACAAAAACACACATGTACAGTTCTCCAGCATAAACAAGAAGAACTGAAAGAGGGAATCCGCCAGAGAGATGAGCTTATAGAGGTATTGTTGAACCTTAAACTTTTTTTTTCAGCCTAGTGTTGATGTGTCTGTACTGGCTGCGGAAGATGTTCGGAAACTACTGCGCTAGCTTGATAAGGACTGATTGGCACTGGCCTGCCTCTAGATCCTCTACCATAGATCCTGTCTATTGCTCTGACAGTTCTTCTCATTCCATATATCCTATCAATCATTCATTTCTATATCTATTCCTATTCCAGCTATATCTGCTCTAATTAGTGTCTTTTCACACTGTTTCACCAGTGTCTGTCTTTTTGTCTCTATACATGTGCATTTTCACTTCTTTGTTCCATTCAGTTTTTCTTGTTTTGTTCCTGTCCTGTGTTGTGTCCTCTTGTTGCTGCTCAACACCACTCCAGGAGAGCCAGAAAATGCAGACTAAGTTAGATGCCCTCACCAGAGAGGTGTTTGACCTGCAGGAAACGATAAACTGGAAGGACAAAAAGATTGCGGTAGGAGGTCCCATGCCTTTGCTCTGACAGAACATGAGAGGCAATCGATGGCTGTGGGGTTTTTTGTCCCCCTCTCCGCTCCAGCTCTTTTGCCTCTCATGCTGTCTCTGCATGATGGAGACCCTTAGGCATTAGCACATAACAGAACCCATTCACATACGGTTTGGATTTTTGCATGTCAAAATAACAGATTTCAGTTTGATTGTGTGGCCTCAGCTAACAATAACAGTGTACTGGCACGGCGTTAAAGCCTGCTGTGGTCAACATTTCTGGAAGGATGGTCATGTGAACTCTAAGAGACATTAAGTCCATAAATTGCAGCATGAGATGCATGTTCCATCTGTGAATCGGTCAATTTGTTAATGTAGTCAGCATCGTGTTAATGTAAAGTTGTTGTTTTTTTGTGAGAATCAGAAGCAGTGCCCTTTCAACCCCCTGTGCTCTACCTTTCCTTTTAATCTTTCCCTTTAACCCTCAAAGCTCGTCACCTTGTCCTTCTCTGCTCGTGTGCTGTTTGTTATTACGTCCCTCTTCTTTGTTCGATATGCACAGTGCATGTTTGTGCATGGTACCTGTCTTGTTCCAGCATGTGTGGCATTGCATGTCTATCCAAAGTCTATCCAACTTCTCTGCCTCTTCTCCTCTCTCTTGTCTTCTCTCATCCATGTGGCCAGGCCCTAGAGAGGCAGAAAGAGTACTTTGATTGCATTAGGAATGAAAGAGATGAGCTCAGAGATGAGCTCGCTGACATCAAGGGGAAATCCAAAGCAGGAGAGGTAGGTCAACCGAATGACAAAAAAAAAATAAAGGTTACAGGAAAGAGCTGCTGGCCAAAAGATTTTTGTTGTTTGTTTTTTTTGTTCTTCTTGGAACTAAGCCTGCTGTTTTGTTGTTATACTTTTTACTTCCACCGCTTTGTTTTTCTTTCCGCTTTCTTTGCTGTTTCACTTATTTTAATTAGTTGTTTTTTTGTTTTTTCCCCTGCTTCCTACTTGTGCATAACTTTTGGTAACTGCTGAATTTGTTCTTGACCCTGACTACATTTCATTAAATAAAATTCCTAATGTATGCAAACATTATCACTGTAGTACTTGGATCTCAAAAACAGTCAATAACAGCAATGTGAGTTCAGATGATGAGAATGCACACTGCTAGGACGTGTTGTTGTAACAGTTCAATAGATTTAACTAGAGTCATGTTTCTTTACCCACTGCCAGATGGGGTGACGTTATCTGATATCAAATTTTGCAATAATATTAAAGTGTTTTGCAAAACCTGTCAGAACACAAGCAGAACATTGTTTGAAGCCATCATTATTCTCATCAAGCAGTTGTTGTTTCAGTCCAGTTTGTGCTTTCAGGCTTGGATTAGTGCAGCCTGTGCAGTGTCAGGGTGTAAAACATTGGAATGAATGTCTTGATCCACACGTTTAAACCTCTAAAATCATTAACTGTTACATCCTGGAACCACAGCACTCACTGTGCGGGATGGTATCCTATAAAAAAAAGTATAATAGAACAAGGCTTCAGCTAGCTTTTTTTTCCTTAACTACAGAAACATGGGCTGGTCATCATCCCAGATGGTACACCAAACGGAGATGTCAACCACGAGTCTCCGTCCTCAGGGATCACTTTGGTCTCCCAGGAGGCCGCCCAGGTGCTGGAGTCTGCAGGAGAGGGTCCACTGGGTGAGTTGGACCACCTGTTGCCTATATAGTGGGAATGTTTACAGCAAGTTAGGCATTTCATTAATTTTTCCTTGGAAAAGACTAAAGTTTTCAGCTTGATTAAATGTACTCTTCTTGTGTTTTGTAGATGTCAGGCTACGGAAGTTGGCAGAGGAGAAGGACGAACTTTTGGCTCAGATTAGGAAACTGAAGAATCAGCTGGAGGAGGAGAAACAGAAACACTCAAAGGTGGACAGTTCGTACACAGATGGGGAGAGGATGGAAAACGGTACAGACCTGCACCTTATTGAAATGCAGAGTAAGTTGACCTCGCTACCCGACTTACACGACAGCTAAACCGCAACCACCCCTTTTTCTTTTAACGTTGAAACTCTGCTCTCTGTAGGAGATGCCAACAGACAGATTAGTGAATACAAATTCAAGCTTTCAAAAGCAGAACAGGAAATGGGTACAATGGAACAAAATGTAAGTGAAATGTTTTGCAGAAACCTCAGTAAAAAAGTTGGTATTGTGGCTAAAATGGGAAACTAATCCGTTCCGGGTTTTGTTTTTTTTCTCCCCCAGATTAACAGACTTGAAGGGCAAGTCTCCCGGTACAAGGCAGCGGCAGATAACGCAGAGAAAATCGAGGACGAACTTAAAGCAGAAAAACGTAAAATTCAAAGAGAGGTAACAACACCTAAATCAGATTTAGCCCAGAGCACAAACCTGATGTGGCAGAATGTTGACTGTGTTATCTCCCTCTGCTCCCCCACAGCTGCGCACAGCTTTAGATAAGGTAGAGGAGATGGAGATGACCAACAACCACCTAGTAAAGCGCCTTGAGAAAATGAAGGCCAACAGGAATGCCCTTCTGTCACAGCAATGAGGCAAGGCAGCGTCACCACAGAAGCCCTTAAATCCGCACCTCAGACCTCTGACTGCCATATTGCGACTGGAGCACATTTCCATTTTCAGCTGTAACACTTTGAGATTTGTAGCTAACCAAAAACACTTAAAACCTGTAGCACAGGCAAATGAACTGAACTGTTTTCTTTGTTTTTCTGAATCAAGAGACATTGGTTTTGTGTGGGAATGAACTCAGAAATACGACTAATAAAACTACACGAGTTGCTGGGAGATACATCTGAGGACATTTCTCCACTCACTACTTAAAATTTCAGAGCTTTATACTACATCGTGTTATCCATGAGATTTATTTCCCTCTGACTGGGTGCTTGACTGTACTTTTTGTTTTTTGTTTTTTGATGTGCTTTTTTTTTTTTTTGTTTTTTTTTGTTTGTTTTTTTTTTTTGTTCCATAAGTTGCATGAATGAGTATAATGATGCTTTTTAAACAATTCAACCCTGATGGCTGCTCCAGCCCCGCACCTTCCTGACTTCCTCTCACACAGTGAAGTGCCTTTTCACACCAGGAGATTGGGGGTCTGCACCGCTTAATAAAACAATAATTGTTTTAACAGGTACATGTATTTAAAAAGGAATAAAAATAAATAAATAAAGGTGCAGTTATTATTTGAATATATATATATATATAAAACCAACTGTGTCTGTTGCGGTTTCTTTGAAATTTTTCAAATATTTAAAAGATTTCTTGAAAATAAATGTGTCATTTACAGAAGTGTGGATTCCATTTTATTTTATTTTTTTATGTAGGACAATCGACCTACATTATTTCTGCATAGATCTTAAGGCACTTTAAATGTTAGGTACAATAGTTCTACTGGGAACTGTTGTACTACTGGGGATCTACTGGGATCTTCCCACACAACCATCATAGGGTTTACAGAGGGGGGTCCAAATCTCTGGGTGAAAATCCCTTGCTGATGCCAGTGGTCAGAGAACTGTCAGACTGCTTAAAGCTGCTAGGACAATAACAATAACCCAACCACTCCTCACAACCAAGTTGTGCAGAAGAGCATTTTCTTCTGCAACAATATGTTGAACCTTAAAGCAGATGGGTTACAGCAGCAGAAGACCACACTGGATGCCACTCATTTCACCTAAGAACAGGAAACTGAGACTAAAAAGAAAAATGCCCCCTGGGCTGATTTCTGCTGCAGGATCATTGTGTGATGCTGTCACATCAGCATGTATCGAAAACTGCTGAATGTTTCCAGCACTTTTGAATCTGTGCCATGGAGAATTAATACAGTGCTGAAGGCAAAGGGGTGTCTAGCAAGGTGCACCTACTTAAGTTCTGTCTCTTGAACCTAAACTAAAAGCTGGTTTGACAGGAGAGGGGTCTGATGGCTGATGATGTGCCACTTTTGGATACTCTTAGAACAAGAAGTAAGCTGTCACTCTGAGACTGAGGCTCCGTTGAGATCATTTCTCATTCATGTGAGAAGAAATGAAATTAATTTAACAGGGAGCCAGTGACGAGAAACTAAGCTGTTCTTATTAACCAAGAGGTCTTCATTTGATTCTAATACTGAAGAGAAGCCCAAAATGTTATCAGGGGCCAAACGAGGACAAGGCTGGTTTAACCACATACACCGGATACTCTGTCAATGTTCAACCCAACCATTATAGCGCCATCTTATGGTCAAATTGCTGGCATCCTGAAAGATGATTTCAAACCAGGAGGATTTTAAAAACCTCAAATGAAGCCCATCATTATGGCCCTTTAGTGATTCTTTTATGAGCTAAAAATACTTCAATGGCCAAGCTGAAGATTCATGCTAACATCTGGTGTCCTGTCATTCCCACTGCCCTGAAAGTGAAGGCTACAAAAAAGCCACAGAACAAAACTGCAAATTTTGTGGACCATTTTTATTAAATATTATCTGCTTTTCTTGTGTTGTTTCCAGTCAAACTTTCTTTCCCATGTATGTCTTTTAACACGTTAATCCCACTGCTAAGCAATACTTGAAAGGGGCTGTCAGAGTTCTTCACTTCAGGTTGTATTACTGTGATGTGCGAGTAAAGAATTGAAGCTGATTTTGGAATCTTAAAAAGTGGAGCACATCTTTTAGATTTCTGCTTCTCTATGCATAGAGCGAGGGAAGCCTACACCAATTTCCACTTTTGAAACTCTGAAATCAAAAGATGTATGAATTTAATTTGTCCCCGTTTGGAATCACTAGAATAACTCGGGTTCGCTTTCTTCTTTAAAAACAAAACAGAGTAAATCAGGTAAGTACAGTTCACTCACTTTTCTGGTCTTCTGCAGGTGTTAAACTAGTTACTGTCCCTCAGGTGTTGATGGAAACACTGGCAGAGCTGCTTTAACCTCCTTCACACAGAGTGCTGACACAGCTTCGACTGACAGGTGGAATGGAGAAGTAATAAAAGTCGAGCTCATTTGCTGGCACGTTTTCGGGTTTCGTTATGGGACTTGTGACCCACTTCTATTTTCCTGGCTTCATGCCTGAAGTCTTAGTGTTAGGAAACCATGTGGAGCCTTGGCACTTTTCAGTAAGCCGTTCAGAAAGGGTTTCCTGCAACAGAGACCCTTTTATAACAGAATTTTTACTCATAAAGACAGAAATGTGAAGTCTTGTTTTCTATAAAGTATTTATTTACAGTATGTGTTATTTAAGAAAAAAAAGAAAAAGAGCTTATATAGTTGATTTTTTTCAGCCATGATGAGCAGTTTCAGCACCTCTCAAACACTTTGTAGAGATCGGGTAAGTTGGCAATCTGCAGCACAGTGCCATCCTCGCTGAAGCTCTTCGGGGGACTGAAGAGGGTTCGGAAAGCTTTAAAGATGAGGTGTTCGACTTTCCACCGCCAAGACTTCACCTCAGTGCCCTGAAACGTCACGAGCGTTACACCTCACACGAGACAAAACAAGGTCCATAACTGGCTGGACAATTTCTGCAAAGTTCAGTATTCACACCTGCTCCTCTCCTGGCTCGGCCTCCAGGATGTACTGCTTCCTGATGGAGTAGAACATGCTGCACTCTTTGCTGAAGTCTCTGAAACAGTCCTTTTCACCGTCCCAGTTCACCTGCACGACATCGCCGCACAAAGGTCTTCAGTTTGTGTTTCCAGAATTGTAGCTTAAATGGAGAGGCTATGATCTAGGTTACCTCAGTTGCCAGGCGCAGGATGAACATAGGGAGACCCTCCATGACTGGGGTGTAGTTGTCGAGGAGCAGCGGGAGTCCTAGTAGGTTTCCTTCCTGTTGTGGGTGTGTTTTGGGTTTGGTTTCTTTTTTGGTTATAACATGAGTTCGAACAATGTTGAAATGCAAGCAGAAATTATCTAAAGAGAATATTTCTGACCTGGTCTATCTCCATGGAGAAGTAGTCCTCTAGCATCTCCGCTTTCTTTTTCAGGAAGTCCACTATGTACTGAGCCAGGCCTTCTTTGGGACCGTCCTCTTCAGTCCAGCCGCTCTCCTCTGACTCCAAAGCCAACATGGCCAAGTCATAAAGAGGTGCTGGGGTCTGAAAACACATTATCCATCATTAGGATCCACACAGTGTTTTCTAATCACTGACGTTGTACACTTTACTTACAGACAGTCTGAGTACACCGAAATTTCCAAAGTCATAAATGAGTATTTGGTAGAAAAGCTCCTGGCTGTAAGAGAAACACATTATCTGACATAAAGCAGCAGCACCAGCTTGAAAGAGCAGAGCTGAACAGAGTTTTTTCACGGTTCTCACCTGAGTTTGTTGGTGTTGAGCAGGTAGAGCTTAGTATGATGTTGCACCAGAGACCACTGGGGATTGACGCAGCCCACAAACGAGTGGTTCTGCATCATTTCTTGAAGGCCTGGAGAGAACGTGCATGAATAAAACATGTTTGGCTTTGTTTTGTTATGTAAATCACAAAAACCGCTCTTAAAGTTCATCAAGAAAGGGTTTATTTGAGACATGCTGAGAGGTCGAATGAATCATTACGAGAGCATGATGTAGCAGCAGAAGAAGTTGCGTAAAGCTGGTTATGAAAAACGACCTGGGCCCCAGAGCAGGAAGTCAAATCAGTGGAACATTTTAGAGAGTCAAAGAGGTTCTTATGTTAGACTGCTCAGTTTAGCCGGGATGGAGATTCCCCAGATCTGATTTGGCGCTAGTGCTCAGAGGTACAGGGCAGGTTTTGTGACGCCACACCTTTATGTGTGTTCTCTGTGATCTCAGCTCTCAGCTCTTTGATGCTGTTCAGTTTGATGAGTCGTCTCTTGGGCGTGGCTGCAGCCGTCAAGTCCTCGCCTTCTTCCTGCTGCTGCTCTTTCTGCTCTGTCCTCGGTCGCTTCCTGTCTCACAATAACGCACACAGACCCAATCACACCCGGTTACATTAAAAATGCTGTGGGACTTAACAGGATGTGCCAATGATCATACATGTTAACACACATTTAGTTGCAGATATTTGTTGTCTTAAAAATATAAAGTCTACATGTACTCCAAGATTGGACTGGATGACTTTCTTTGTTGGCCACTTGGGGGCAGAAGAAACCAACAGTATTCATCTGGAGTCATGTTTCTGCTAAGCTAACTCCAATATTTATCCTTTCTTTATCTACTTCTACAACAAGGAGGAATATGTGGCTCTGAAGCTGCCAGATGTTTGACTTTTCTTGTCTGATTTGTCACAGCTGTTTTGTGCTGCGTAGTTGGCTCACTTTAAATTTTGCCTGAAACTCTTTAATCACCCTTTACAGCTCAGGAATCTATCTATGAAGGATCTTCAGTGTTCATGTTTTAACAACTGTCTCGCCAAAACTCTTAACAATCTGTTATTCAGTCTCACCCCTAGATGTCAGTACGTTACAGTCAGCTGAATTCTGTTTTCTTACTCCTCCATATTCAAGTGAATAATGCAATAATGCCAGCTACAGTTGCTGCTGTAGGACAAACATCTCTGGCCGTTCATCTGTAGTGAGTGTGACTGTCACTCCACCGTTTACCGTCAATATGTGTCCACGTCTATTTACTCTGGCGGAGGCTGTAAAACTTTGTGAAAGGAGTCTGATACCACTTGGTGAGTCAGTGAAAATCACTCCTGTGTAATCACAGCGATAATGAGCTGAGTTTTTGAGGATATCCTGAACCTTTCTGTTGATAAGCGCTGCTCTTTTTTCAGCTGTTAGCTGTTGTTAGCTGGCGCTGAAAGTGAAACTTTCTTTAAAGTGGATCTAAAATCACTCTCACAGGTAGTGAATAAACTCTTTTACAATCTGAGTTTAATCAAATAGTTTATCAGAGGGAAAGTGTGATTCTTAGGATACTCGAGCCTGGTGGTATACTATTACCTCATGTATGTATGGCCAATCTTTAGCCACATACATAAACACATGTCCATCTCAGCCACTGTATTCAATATGACTGGGCAACATGGCAGCTTTCACAAACCATCGCCTGCTCCTATGTATTTTATTCTATTTCTATATTAATTCTAATTTAATGAGAAAGCAACACTTTGTTGGAAGACATATTGATACACTCCTCAATGCATATTTAAGAGCACAGCGTTCTTTTTTTCAGTTAAATAACCTTAAAAAATGACATGCTGTAACTTTAAATGCCAGTGTTAGTTAAACACAACACTGCTTTTGTTACTGATTGGCCCTAAGGGTGATGTCTCATCAGTGAGGGCTGATCCATGTTTACTTTTACATTCTTCTTTCTGCTCTCTTACACAACTCATTTGCTGCGGGTCAATGTTCAGATTTGCTCACAGTGCAGGATCAATCGTACATTAGACTTGTCCTGATCTAACTTGCAGAAATTCTGACAGGATTACACTTAAAGTTACTCCCTGACTGAGTCTGTAATCCCTGCTGACTCACACAATCTAATGCTGCTACTGCTACTGCACATATGTCATTCACCTCTGATTATCAAGAGCACCGACGCTGCCTTGTTCCTCGCCCTTTGGCACCTCTGCTTCCTGTTCAGCCAGCGCCTCCAGCATGTCTGAGTCATCTACATCGTCTATCTCTATGCTGTCCGCCTGGATGGCTTTGATCGCAGTCTGCCCACTGCTGGGACCAGCAGGCTCGGGATCAGGGAGCGGCTTTTCTTTTGGTTGGAGGAAGGCATCTAGCTTCTGTGTGCGACAGTCGGTCCTCACCATCTGATGTGCGTAGACTCGCTCGCTAGACTCCGATGTGGTGCTGGAGGCCTTAACCTCAGTGTTACCTGAGACTGACAGTCCCGGCAACAACGTCTACACAAAGACAGAGATGGGCACAGACTGTAAATGACCTGGTGGTAACTTCCACTGCTGAAAGATGAAGCCAGGGCAAAAGCCTTTCATACAAATGTTGTCACTTGTGGTTGCAAAAAAACAAAGATGGAGACAGGAACGCTAAATTTGAGCTTTAAAATAAATGCAGGAAATTAAAGCGACTGTATCCATCTTTTATCTACAGTCTGCAGTAAACACGTGGCGGTGCACAATACGTCAGATAATGTGGACGTGAAACAGTAGGGGCACAGTAAGAAAGAGACCTTGTCACTTCATACCTGAGTGAAATATGTACGTGAGGAGTTGGAGCCCAGGAGTTTGCTCTCGATGTGCTTCTGAACGCTCTCGATGACACTGTCCTCATGCAGGAAGTGCACTTCATGTTTAGTGGGATGAACATTAACATCCACATTCTGAGGAGCGATTTCTAAGCTGTGAAAGTTAGAAAGCAACAGTGATTCAAGGTTGTAACTCAAGAAACAGTGTTAGAAGAGTCCTAACTGTGATTCAGATATGTCAATAACAAGCAACAGATGGTCTTTCTTGATGCAGAGAAGCCCTTTGACCAAGCTGAACAATTTGGTTTAGGTCATAATTTCATTAACTCCTTTAAGGTTCTTTTTAATGGCCCTATGGCAACTGTTACAGCTAATGTGGTTAGGTCTAAAAACTCTTAAAAGAGGAAGCCAACAGGGCTGTCGCCACTATTATTCAGTCTGGCTATAAAGTCGTTAACTGATACAAAAAGATGTGACCCTGCAGTCTGCAGGATTGTAATCGGTCAGGATCTTCATAAGATTACTTTATATGCTGATGATGTTTTATTATTCTTGTCTAACCCTACAAAAAAATCAGTAAATTGTCTAATAGAAGTGAAACATTTATTTAGCACCTTATCTGGTATAAAAATGTATTTCTCCAAATCTGAGGCTATGTCAGCAACAGACACCCAAATCTTTTACTTCCTCCCCTTTAGAAATGGTCTCTGATGGGTTTCGTCTACTTGGGTATATTTCCAACATCCCAGTTCGATCAGATGTTTAAAGCTTATTTATTCAATAAGATTAAGCAAGATCTTGAACTTTACAACTCACTCCCTATGTCCTGGTTACACGGGGTCTCACTCTATCAAGCGAGGATGATTCAAATAGAAAAAAAAATTTAAAAATATAAATGAAAGTTTCATCTGGTCCAAAAGATGGGCACTCATAAAGAAGTCAACTTTGCAGCTTCATAGAATTTAGAAAATATCAATTGAGATGTCTTCTTCAATTTAGCTTTATATTGAATCTTCAGCGTCTAAGCATCCTCTTTCAAACCTAATTGTTATGAAGAATATGAAAACTGTAAAAGATTGGTGTAGGAACCCAATCACAATAAAAACACTCAAGGACTGGAGGGAATGGATTGCAGTGAGAACTGAAATAACATCCATCTTCCCCAACTGTTACCAATCCGGATTTCTTACCAGGTCATTTAAACAATGGACTGTGAGGTTTTCTTTTAGAGACCAACTGGAGAATGTGGTCCTACTGACCTTTAATCAAATAGAGCAAGAATGTAAGATAGGAACAACCTCTTGCATTACTTTCAGATAAGAGACTATGTCAATAACAAAACCGGTCCACTAAACAAGGTCAAGGACTCTGACACTGAAATTTTCTACAAGGAGTAATGTTTCAGTTAGCGTGTTGTACAAAATTCAGAGGGTGTACTCTGGGACCAGGACAGCTGAGACAGACCGTTGGCAGACTTTTCTTTCACACAGCCCCTTTCAAACTTCAAGTCTGCCACTTCACTTTAATGTTGTAAGTGTAAAATAAACTGTCTTACACACATTTGAGTTCTCTATGAATTGCAGAAAACTGAATTGAAACTGAGCTCAACCTGCTGTCTCTTCTCCTTGATCTCCCAAATATTTACATCTGTCTTTTCTGTGGCAGGAAAAAAATGTACTACTTAAGAGGATTTCTCATTAAACTCACTCAATCACCAGGCAGCACTGGATGATACTGGAACACACGCGTCATTATGTGCCTGGTCCAGTTTTAACAAGTTTTTAACAAGAACCTTTCCATAAAACTTCAAGCGATGGTCAAGCTGTGATAACTGAGTTACAAGGATAGATGAATGTCAAAAAGATGTGTGTCTTCCCCCTGCTAAGCCTAACTATTATTGTTGTTATTAACAGATGTACGACTTAAAAAAGCAAACACACACACAAAGCCACACAGGTAAAGTACATTACCTCAAGTAAAGGAACGGGTGTGTGTTCTTGGGGAGATATGCAGCATAAACTGTCTCAATCGCTTTCTTCAAAGCGCTCGACTCCACCAGACGATCTGAGACATCGCAGAAGACAGCTTCATTTCACAGAAACACAGCAGCTAACAAGATTAAATGCTAACTGCTGCGTTTCCAGTAAGTTTCTGTGGTACGTACGGTTTATGAACAGGATCAAAATGCATTTCTTGACTGAATAGTTTGCGTTTGAGATGTAGCCTTTCATCTTATAAGCGAGCTTCTGATCTTCACAGGCAACCTCGATCAGCTCCCTGGGAACATACCACAGAGCCGGTCATGCAATCAGCTCAGAGGTGAGAAGAGGTTGCATAAAAAGCAGCGCTCATCAAAGGAGATTTGCCGGAATACCTGCTGACTGCGTTGCCAAAAATCCCTCGAATATTATCCACTACAGACGCATTGGGAAGAGTCCTTACGTCTGCCACGGTCTCTCCTTGCTGGAAAGAGGAGTCACAAAAACAGACAGCAAATAGTTTATTTGAAGAAAACTGCTTCGCGTGCTTGAGGGAGGCATTTAATTTAAATGAAAAATAAAGCACATCTTACCTTTTTGACAGAGAAGCTTTTTCCTGAGTTGTGTATGGCGTACCTGCAGAGTAAGACAATGTTAACAAGTTGAAGCAAATTCACCAAGAATCATGAGAGACGAATAAAACCCACACCTGCCGACCACTTCTACAATCCTGGAGTACTCATCGCTCGGGCTCTTTAGAGCTTTTCTCCTGGTGGAGACGTTATAGAAAAGATCCTCCACCTGCAATCAACAAGAAGAGCAGCTTCTCAGCATCTATAAATTGTATTTTAGAGAACAGCTCATCTGCAAGGAGAACTCACAAGGATCTGCGTTCCCTGGTTTCCAGCACATGGTTTGGGAGGGCCTTTTAGTTTGCCATCGCTGTAGTTGGCTCTGCAAGAGAACACAACCAATTTATGAGAGAGCTGACATCCTAGTTGTTTTGTAGCCTTTAGTAAGGCTTTAGAGCAGATAAGGAATGCAACAGTACCTGTAAGCGCACTTTGCATCAGCAGTCTTTGTGGTTATGGTCACATGGGCAACATGGCTTATACTAGCAAGGGCCTGCAGACAAGAACAAACACAATAAATGTAATACAAAACAAATTAATACAGTGAAGGCAGACAGAGGTGCACAGCTCACCTCTCCTCTGAATCCATAGGTTGCGATACTCGAAAGGTCCTCAAAAGTTTGAAGTTTGCTCGTGGTGAACCTCTCACAAACGATTTCCATGTCCTCCTTCTGCAGTAGTGAAAAAGAGTTTCACTTGGTACACAGCATATTCTGAACAAACTACCATAACGTCACCAGCAGGGTCATTCTGAGGCAACCCTTCATACTGACCCTTAAAATTTGAAGTGATTTTTAATCAAAGCCAAACAAAGAATTTTGTTTTTCATAGCATAAATATGTCTGACGTAACATAAAACATCATTTGTAAGCTTGTTTGTAAGCTTAGGCACTCATTCAGTTTTAACTTCATGCATTCAGTTGTTATAGTCATATATCATTGTATGCTTGTTCCTCACTGTGGTGGGAAAACTAAAGCCTGTGACAAGTAATTATGAGTAAGTACTATGTAATTCTCCATCTGGTCAAAACTAAGATTTATACAATTTAACAATACATCGCCGTGGGTTGGAACATGAAAATCATGTCATTTTAATTACATTTTCTTGAAAAATCAATCCTTTTTTAAAAAACTTATATTACTTCTCATTTTGTCATATTTAATGTTACCAGAAATTACTGGGGCAAATTGTTAGAAGACATGAAAAAATGGCTGTAGTTACAAGAAAACAGCTCAAGTATAAAATGTTCAAATGTGTTAACAAGTACACTTGAGTTGGTGTCTTCCGTCTTTCAGTTCAGGGAAAGACTTAGCACACTCAGTGACAGAAGAAAACCAAAATAGCTTAACCCTGACTGCGTAATGATGAAGCAGAGGCCACCCAGCTAAAAGGGCGGGTCACCCACCCTGATGCCAGTGCCGTTGTCCTGAATTTGAAGAAGTTTCAGTCCGCCGTCTTTCACCGTCACCTGAATGCTTGTGGACTTTGCATCCAAACTGGAACAATTGTAAAACACAAAAGTGTATTTACCACAGGGTCACACTGCACGCTAAGAGGAGACAGTTACAGGTCTGTTACTATGTTACACGTGATGTAAACAGTCACCCCGGCCATGTATGGCCACCTTTAATAATCCCGCTACTTGGATATTTAAGTCACTAGTCGTACAGTGACTTAAATATCCTAACGTTAGTGCTCACGTTATTGAAACTGCTCTTTATATAGCTGCTAATTTACCAGTTTTCAATCATTTCTTTAACGGCGTTGGCAGGACGCTGAATAACTTCTCCCGCAGCAATGCGGTTGACAACAGTCTCGTCGAGCCTCCGGATAACTCCCGCCATGTTTACAGAGCTGCTGACTTCTAGTTTGGTTAAAGAGCAGGCAGAATGTGCGAGTACGTAAACATATGGAATAAACGGTATTTATTTAAGCTAAAGTGCAGCATTACTGCTGTACACGAAACTGAGCACGCTTGTGACCAGAGAGGAAGCAAACAAACAGACCACTCACTCCGCCTGAAAATGTCAGAGTATGTCAGAAGTTATAATGTCGGTCCCTCAAATACCTCAATGACCGTTATAATAAACGTTTTAATCTCTTTTAAAAAAATAAACTATAATTGCGGAGAAAATTTTTAGACATAATTTTCAATTTATTTAGATAAAGGCACGCATCTTCCTAAACACACAATCTTCGACGACAGCGCGGGTAGAAGGCGGGGGCGGTGACTACGTCCGGCTGTAGAGCTACGTAATTCCCGAAAAGTCTTCTTCGTTGGCAAATATTTTTGAAATACTGTAGCCTAGCGACCCGTAACGGTTGTGTAATCATGCTTTTTGAGGAGTAAACAGTTATTTTTGTGAAAAGCTAAAATAATTACGGTTATATAGTTCAATTACAAATATGTTTGCAGAAAATAAATGGCAATTATGTGTTTTACTTTCTTCCCCCCCCCCCCCTTTTGTTTGATCTATTAGTGCTGAGACTGGTAGACAGATAATACTGTGGGTCTTTGCCATGCCCATTTCTGGGTTGTACAATTTTGAAGTGTTTACTTAGGCTTAAGGTAATAAATAGCTTAAGTAATTAGCCATAAATACCATTACATAATGAAGTCCTGAGAACTGCGCCCTGGTAAAGATTGGTCTACAAAAAGGTCAGGGGTCACAACCGCTTACAGAATTGCCCCCAAAAAGCCTGGCTTCACAATCACAGACCTACTGTATAACAACATTACATTCATTTAAGGGAACCTTAGCTTCATCTTTTGCCTTCAGCAATTTTCAGCATAGGCTAAAGCTACTTGGGCTTCTCCCTTATTCCCAAGAGGTAACCACATATGGGTAGCTCAGCATATTTGATTTGGCAGAGTTTTTTCTTTTCTTTTTTTAATGCCAGATGTCCTTCCTGACAAAATCCCAAAGGGATGTGTGTCGCCTCTAATGATCTAAACAGGGATCTTTCGCTTGTGAGGAAATTGCGTAAACCGCCATGCTGTTGAGTGAATATATAACATAAATGGCCAAAGTAACATTAAAAAGCGATTTATTTTGATGACCTTTTTTAGAAACAGTATTGCCAAAGCATCAAAATAACATACATCCAAATATCTGAATAGTACACAGTAATCGTTAAAATAGCAAAATGTATGGTATAGTACGTACAATGCAGCTCCATAACGTAGTTGTTTATATATTCACCTATGAAGTGAAAGGTCTATGAAAGATTCCAACAGAGGCAGAAATCCACTTGGGATTGCATCAGGAAAGGGCATGCTGTGTAAAAATCTGCCAAATCAAACAAGGAGAGCTGCCTGTTTTTCACATGGGAGCAGCTGACAGTAGCATATACAATATAAACCTGCTATGGCATGTACAGAGGTAAAGACATTTGACCTCTAAATTCCAGAGCCTTGTTCTGTATGAGTACAACATTCCCACCAAATAGTTTGTATGTTAAATAATTCCACTCCACCAGAAGACTTAACCCACAGTGGCATGGTCTGCGTTGTATAATATCAAATGTTCAGACAAGGCAAAACTAAATAATTACTAAATTACGTATTTTAAAAGGTAAAACTATTAGGCATTAGTGCAGTTTTCTCCCCTGTACTCTTGGCTGATTCACCTTTGAGGCCCTTGCCTGTGCACATAGTTGGCCAGACCACAAACTGCCTGCATTCCTCACAAAGCTGCATGCCTTTCGGCCGGTGGGCTACGGCAGAACAGTGGCGGGAGTTCAGAATCTTCCAAAATGCAAATCTTCTCAGATATTTTATGAGGATTTATTTTTTCATGAAAACTAATCTAGGTTACATGAACCCTCTGTGATTATGACACTAGGTGCCAGAGTTATGTTGCTATGCTGCTACGTTATGTTGCTGCTACGTTTTAGCCCCAAGCAGGGTGACCTCAATCGGATAAAATGCTGTGAGAAAAGGCCTTGTGTCACCATTCAGATAGTACCCTGCACTAGAGTTTCTCAGCGCACCCACTGCAATCTGAAATAAATCCAGGCTGGATTTTAAAATTTGTAGTTTCATTTGAAAGTTAAGAATGGGTTTCCAGCAAGAATTAATGAAAATACTCCAAAATCTCAATCCTGAAAAGCAGATTGTCCTCAAACACCTGCAGGAAAGCAAACAGAATGAGGTAGCAGTGAAAAACACATACTGGGTAAGTTTCTGCCACCCTGTACCCAGGAATCTGCATTTTGTTATATCGCCTAGAGTCAAATATGGATTATAATGGAGGTCTCAAACAAAATATATTTCATCTACACTTTTTGCTGAGGTTTAAGTTGCAGTGAGAAACCATGTGAGCTCAGTTCTCACAGAGCCACGTAATATTTTCCACCTGAAATCCTGCTTGGTTTTGTAAATCCCCTCAGAATCTGAACCAGGCTATTTCCGTGTAACCGTTTTTTCATTTTTATGCAAAAGTATATGCCTATGCAAGCAGCCCCGAGAGCTAACTCGGCAGGGTTTAGAAGTTCAGCAGCTCGTTGTGCCGCCTTCTTGAGCCTTTGCCAACTCGACTTCAGTGCCATCAAACAACTAATTGCAGGCGTATGCAAACAAAGGCCACAAAAGAAAATGGAACAACCTAAGAGGTCACTGGAAGTATGAAAGGAAGTCATCTTGGCAGAAATGTGACTCTAATGTTTGTCTTACTTGTGATTTGCTTATTCTGTGCTTTCTAGGCTCTTTCTGCAGCTAAACCTTGAAGGACTGCGGTAACATCGATCACTTTATGCCAAAGGAAAAGCTATAGCTGTGTGCTTGAGTCTGAGATGTACCGTGGGGACTTGATGTCTATTCAGTGTCCCTGACTCAGTGCAGGACATCCCAGTATGCAGTATTTCAGCAGCAGGATGTACCACAGGATGCAATACAATAGTGCTGGAAATAACGCAGGCATGTAAAAAAAAAGAGTAAATGTAAGCAAGATGTAAGGCATTATAGCTGCTCCCTGTTTTTTTTTTTTGTTTGTTTGTTTTTTTATCTTTTCCACTGGCAGACAGCATGTATAACATCATTGTGGAGAGCTACCCTCCCTGCAGTAAGTCTGTGTCCTGTCTCAATGTAATCTCAAGTCCTGGATGAGGTCAGAGCTGGTTGTGCATTACTCCAGTCAGTAATTGCTCCTATTTTTCTCAGAACATTTCCTCTAGTGCGACATAGTGTAAAGTGCTGATTACAGCTCTGCCACTCCTGTGGCGACCTGCCACACGTAAAGACAGGCACAAGCAAGCACGCATGTTAGTGTAGTTGCACACGGGACATGCACACACACGCAGCTTTGTAAGCCAAAGCGTGTCCAAAGTGGATTCAAAAGGTAGACTTAAATAAACTTTTCTCTTGTTGCAAGCTGCAGACACACACAGAGAAAATACTCTAAAAACACAAACACTGTCAACAGGTGAAATGACAGGCAAATGAGATGCACACCTGCTGCTGAGCACCCTGGGAAATGAGCTCAGCACTGGCCCAACACGGCCTCCACGTACGCCAAACAACGTGGATCCATTTCACACCTTCAAGTCGCTCTCTAGACATTCTGCACTGACACAAGCCTGCTGTTTTGTTACATCTGTGTGTTTATATCTACACCTTTTGTCACCAGCAAGTTGGTAATCTCTGGCTTAATGGAGATAAAAACTGGTGACAGGGGGTTGAAAGAGTACATTATTGTACTCTTGATGTGGGAATGCAATAATCTGCGGAATTTGCCATCCTCTCAACAAGTGACAAAGATAGAGGAGCTAGTCTTTGCTCAAATGACAAGGTTTGTCCAACATGGCACAGATCCAGAATCCACCCAGATAAGAGTGGCCATCTAATTTTATCATATTCAAGAATTTCATAGGCTGAATCTCATCTGGATATGGATGAATTAAGCAAAACAACGTTAACACGTTTGGAAATGTGCTCAGCCCATTGTCTGCAGACTTTCATTAACTTTCATCATCTCTTTAGCCAAGCATGATCTCACCTCTTTGAGAACCACTAAGACTTCCTGTGTCCCTCCGTGACAGTATGCGCCCAGAAATGGATTCAGCAGCTGCTGCTCTTCCTTTTCTCTTTGTTTTCTCACACTCCATTTTTTTCTCTAGTGTCAATCTTCCTCTTCCTACATGCTCTCCTTATCAGCACAATAGCCTCAGGACATGTTATAAACAACAGATGAACACATGGCTTCCTACATAGAGGTAAAAGAGAGGAACTTCAGCCAAAAACTCAATCAAATCATTTTGTGTTTAACCATTTCTGTGGTTGAATTTTAAATATAATCAACATTACGTGTCACTACTGGAGTTATCACTAAATACAGAGTAAATAAAAAATAGATGAAATGTGGATGTCTCAGTTTTGCATGTTATTCTTTTTGTCATGTATGGCAGTGCCACAATCAGGTGATTAAATGAATGTGATTAGTATAAACTAAATTTATACCACTCAAGTAAATTAAATTTGACCAGATTCAATTACACTTCATGTTTCACACTGTTCTTATGTAACAAATAATATTGAAAATTTACATGTCTTCACATTTTTTTGAGTGTGGCAATAGAATACAAGGTCAGGATATCAACAAGAGTCATTTCTGTACATGAACGTACATAAAAAAATGTTGTCGAAACCACAGATGTTTAAATATTACAGTGTGAATTGATGTCAAACAAGAATCGGAGCAAAGCACGGCCATTGTTTAGCACCTTCAGGCTGGCTTCCATCCCCACAAACTCGTCATGCTAAAATACAAAGCAAACCATTTTTACAGCCTAGTTAAAAAACAAAAACAAAACAAAGATGTCCATAGCTTATTTCCCTTTTCATGACAACTGTGAATGGAGTGAATTTGTATATAAGTCACTCTTTTTTAAATGTATTATCCTTAAAATTATGCAGGATTAAGGGTGTAGCTTATTTCAGTAACAGATAGATGTTAGCTGTATGCTAGGCCTCACCTCTGCTAACCCATTGTGTCTGTGGTGTTGGAGTCTTCCGGAGAATTTTTTAATACAATTATGGCAAACAATATGGCCAGTGTTAGTCAACTGTACTGGCAGACAATCAAAGAAGTATGCTCAGTTTTTTTGGTAGTGAAATTCTAGCATGATTTGTTTTATATGTTAGCACAGACACAGATCTCTGGGGGTATCTTGCTAATGAAGGTAGCTATCGTTTACATTAAGCCCTCCTTTTTATGA